TTCTATGGTTGTAATTATGCACTTGATTCTATGTTCTTAATTGAACATGTGAAGTTCTTAAGTGTGAGGGAAGATAACAGGGTGTTGCTTTCTGTCAAATAGATAAATTGAATGCACAACTTCCTGGCGGTACCATTTGCAATTTTTGCTCTTGACCATCAGTTGAAGTGGTAAGGGATTGGTTTTTAAATTGCAAGTCCAAGGATCAACTTTTACCAACCATGAAGTGATAGCCCCTTCAATTTATCATGTGTTGGCTTTACTCCTGGAAAATAATTCTAGCTTTATATTTTCATTAGTCTGAATATATACTCATTTCTTTTTGCAGGATCAAATATTTTCTGACAATGATGCCTTTTTCGCATGGACATTTGTAAAGCGACACCCACTTTGGCAAACACTTCTCTCATTTTTCTGGCCTGTGTTGACTCTTGCAATTTGCTTGTTTCCTGTATATCCACATAAGTGCAAACTACTGATTCTGTATTCATGTGCTGGGGTCCTACTACTGATACTCTCACTACTTCTATGTGAGTTATTACACATTTTAGTTCCCTTTCCCTTTAATGTTAGTTGCAGTTTCTTTCTTTTAATCTTTTGGCTCTCTCCGTTCTTTTCTCTGGGTGGGGTTGGGGGTGTGGCTATATGTTATAGTGTTGGATAGGAGAGAGATAACTGCCTTTTCTTTGTATAGTTGCGCTTTGGACAAGGTAGAAAAGAATATGAATGGCGCATTGTAAAGAGAAATTTATTCTAGATAGTTAGACGAATGTGGTTTATTATAGAATTTAGTCTCAAATACTTTCATATCCTGAAGTTTCTGCTTAACTTTTGGAGCAATGCTGTGATGACCCTATGCAAAGCTGATTCCTTGCCTGGTCATTCCAGTGAATGACTACTTTTCCTTCTGTGAATGACGTCCAATTTCTCATCAAGTGAAATATTGTGTTCAAAATATTGCTCTTATCATGATTACTATAAGGTTTATAATCCATATCACTCATTTTATCTCAGCTAACTTTATTTATGTTTATATCACATCTTGATTTGATTCTGGTAGTTATATTTAAAAGTAGCAGAATTCATGGCTGCAATTTACTACTTTGGTCATGCATGATAGGTATCAAACCTGACAAGGGTATAATTTATCACCTGTCTTATCACAATTAACTTTGTATGTGGTTCTCTGGCATCTTGATTTGACTGTGGTAGTTATATATAGTAGTAGCTGAAGTCATTGCTGCTATTACTATTTTGTATTTTGACCAATTATTGGAGGATTACTGAAATTGCAGTGAGAGCAACAATATTTGGTGCTATATGGATTGTTCTTGGAAAGCGTGTTTGGTTTTTCCCTAACATTCTTGCGGAGGAAGCAACTTTGCGAGAACTATTCCGTTTCTGGCCTAAGAAAGATGAGGAGGAGCGACCAAAGTGGACAGCAAGGCTTTTCTATGCAATAGTAGCTGTATTGGTCATATTGTTGCTTAGGCATCATGCTCCTGATGAGGCTGCCAGAGCCAGGTTAGTCGTCTTAAAGCTACCCTTATTCTTTTATTTATTCTTTTCCATTCAATGCATGCATTGGTTTATTTTTCTTTTATAACTTCTCATGAGATGTCAATTCAAAAATTTTCTGGTAATGATTATCGAGTTAAAGATAATTTTATCTGTTGTTATGATGAAAAAAATACTGGGATGACGAAAACTTTTTTGTAGACATCCTATAATTCTTAAATCTCTTAAATGAATTATGGTGTGATTTTATTAAATATCTTCTGATTGTATGTGATTCAACAATACACGCCACTTTCAATTTTAGTTCTCTATTTAATCTTATTTTTTTGAGTATCATGTAGTTCAGACAGTGTATACTATTCATTTATGTTTAGTTGTCTACTGACAGTGAAAAATTAGATTAAGTGAATATTTCATAGTGATATTTTGACTAAATGTTTTCATGGATTAAAAGAAACTAAATGAATTGAATGATGAGGTAGAAGGATGCTATGACTCAGTAGAAGGATGCTATGTCGTTAAACATCTTGTGACAGACATGGTTTGGTAGTATATGGTCCTTTGAACTTTCTAAAAGATAAAGTTGATTTACGTATATCTGTTAAGGTAGCATATTCACATATATTATGGCTTTAAATTGGATATATGGATGAATATATTTATATATTAAATATTTAGGGGTGCATATATAATTTAAAGTGTCAATGACAAGGTGCAACTGATACAAAATATATATGTATATAATATACGCAAAGTTAACCTAGCCATTCATGGATCTGAAGTATTTTTATTCTTGCAGGTACCAAAAAAGGATGTCCAACATAATCGATGATGTTCTGGAGTGGTCTCCCCGACTGGCTCTGTCTGGGATGATGGAGAAACAGCAAACCGTTGTTAATGCAACAGATTCTCCCAAGAACTTTTCAGATGGGAGCACAGAAAGTCCAGAGAAGGTTGTTCCCCCTGATGTTGCAGAAGCAGAAACCTTCCCAGAGCATCACGAGAGTGAAGAGGAAATTGGGAGTGTAGATGGCGAAGCTCAGCAACAACATAATGACCATATATGATAAAATTATCATGCTAGGCCTGGAGTATAAATCACTCTTTATTTTTGGTCTTGAGTTTGAGTGTACAACTATCAGACTAACAATAAAGTAGTTGGTCCTTTTTTTTTTCCCAGTCTTATAGATATGTGCAAAATAGAGGACAGTGCTAATTTCAAAGAGGTTAAATTATTGTTTTTTTTTTATTTCCCGAAGATAGAGGTTTGTTCTTGTTTATATACGTTTTCTCAATGGAAGTGATGATTAGATAATATCCAAGTTCTTATTGCTTTAACTTCAGCATTAACAAGTCTGTTATGGCTCGGTGATATAATCCTCTTTGTAGATCACTTAATTCGTCTTTGATCCCTAGGAACTCCAAGAAACCAATCAAATTAAATTTCAACCTGCAACCTTTCTCAAGTAAATAGAAACATGGACCAGACATTTCAGTTCTATTAAGAAAAGAGCTACGAATGCTTCTAGTTCTGTTTAAAATCCTCCCATAATATATGGCTAATAGAGTTATAGATGTCATAAGAGACACAACCTACCTATGTACAAAACGCAAAAATGGGAAGAATGACGGTCACTGGAGCACCATAACACAAAAAGGAAGAAAAGGAAGCCACCCACCTCCTTCATCTTTACCTACTTTACCCACAACCAAAAGCACAACCAAAGCCAAGAATGATTTGCCGCCTGGCAACAAAAATGCCAGGTATAAGGTCCCAGCCAACCAGGTGATTCACCCTTCACTACTTGGGTGGGTTCCATTACTCGATCTTGGCATGGCACCCCACCTCAGGTAATGAGATCACTGGATGGCAAGAGGTCTTTGAGATGCCTGGTTGGAGGACATGCTGCCCCATTGCTGACCTGAACAGTCCCCTTCATCCCTTCTCTCTCCCAAGTGTGAGTGATATGTCGACGCCTGCAAACCACCTTGACTCTGGTATCCACTGCTGCCATTCATTCGATGCATGTCATGCACCTGAGATCCTTTTGTTGCATTTTGACCAACTGAAGAATTTCGGGTCCCTGCAGTGTCGAAAGGAAACGGCTCAGAACCTGATGAAGTCGGGGAGTGAGATGACTGGCCAGGACCAGAACCCGTACCCTTCTCTTCAGATGTGTGTTGCGACGCCTCACAGTCAGTTTTCTTTGCAAAGCGGCCTCCACTCCCCCTTGCTCGTCTCATAGCATGCTGGTGCCGAGATTCATGGAGATATGGCTGTTGAACAAGCAAAAGAATGCATTAAATATACACAGGAGGTCCACAACATAATGGCAAAGTTCAATAAAACAGGAACAGCAACACCCTTGGCAATTCACAAACTTCCATCCAATATTTAATTTGTTCTCTTATTTAAATCCAATGTGAACAAGCAAAAGTTAAATATACATCCCAAGCAAACAAGGATGATTGAAACACCTTTCTGACTTTGATCAGCTTCTTTTCTAGCTCTGCCTTTGCACGTGCCTGCCTTCGCCTCAGAATCCCCTGGTATTGTTTGGCATTCACATATACAGGTTCTTGTGCCATTTCAAGAGGCAGAGGCATTCTAGCATGAGGCATCCCAACATAAGGAGGATAAACCTGGTAAAAAAGGTGTTCATTGGAAAGGAGACCACAGTTAGACCACAATATTCAACAAGGTCCGTGTTCATAAAGAGATTAAATCATCACATAACAAATGAAAAGAACTGTGCCCCCTATGAGCAGCTTCCCTCGTCTTTTATGAAGTTGGGAGAAAATGATGAACTAAAAGGACCAGCAATATGCATAAAAGGTACAGGTGTCCACAATTCTTTTGAAGAATCATAACAGTGCATGATGGGCAATGGACTGGATTCCACTTTATTCTTTGCCTATAACAAACACGTTAGAATTATGCTTTGTTTCTCATTGAGTCTTGGTAACGTTAGACACCCTAGTTCACTTTTAGCTTCCTTCTCTCTGTTCTCCTCTTTTCTACCTTCTATGCAGGGTTAAAAGAATATAACAATTGAAGGACTTAATTTTTGCTTCGAATTCCATCAATGGTGAAACACTGATAAACACTTGGCCTTGAATTTAATTCAACACTATAATTGGTACCACAAAACAAAGAACGGTGGACTATTCCCTTCAAAATATATCCTTATATAGAAAAGCAACAGATTTGAGGCATCCATGAGCATCTCTTACACCCTAAGCCAAGGATCGTACCAGTGGATACATAAGGCAATATAGTTCATATTTGTAACTAACTCAAATGAAAAGCAGACTGCCAGTTAAAATCAACCAAGGATTTTTAGCCATTTCCAGCCACAAGGCCTAAATGGCAATTTACTCAAAAAACCAGAGAAATAATCAATGAAAATAACCAGAGAAATAATATCTCTCGAATTGCTCTATCACAACAAAGCAAAATAATACACAGCCTCTTAATTTTTCCTTAGAAATTGTACCCTTTAAAAGGACTAGAAGTAAAAGTTACATTCACACAGAGTTCCTATGAAAGAAACAAAACATGTTAATTTCAATAAAGTCATTAACAGTAAATTAATATGAGCCAAAAAAAATCCACAAACACATGCTTAAAAATAAATTTTCTTATTAGAACTGAGATTAAAATTAAATAGTATCCAGAGAGGGGCTTTGGTATCAATTAAACAGTTTAAGGATTTGGGATTATGCTTCACTAACCAGAGGCTGATGTCCATAAGCCGCCATCATTCGCCCATAATATGGATCCTGGTACAGATTTGATGCACATGCCTGCAAAGTCAAAAGAGAGAAAATAAATTTTTTTTTTAGTGTACAAAAGAGAAAAAAGAATTGATTCCCTCCCAAAGCATGGAGTATAATTTCATTGCAGATTTGAGAGAATGGAGTCCCACCAGAACCAATAACTCAAGTTTCTGAAATCTCCTAAACATAAGAGTACTCTTAAAGACTAAAATCAAAAGGCATCACTTACAATTGAATGACCAACAAGTTCAAGCTGTGGAGGTTGTGAGAGGCACTCATCACGAGTCATGGGTATAGTTGATGCAACATGTCCCAAATTTGAAGGTTTTTGTCCAGAATTTCCAATTGAAATTAGAACAAAAATCAACTAGTAACATCAATAAACTGCACCATGTTTACTTCATGAAAAAAAAAAAAAAGAAACCCTGAAGCTAATAAGTACTCCCCCCTTCCTAATCTGCGCAGTCAAATGAAGTATCCTATGTGTAGATACTCTTTAATAAGCAAAAGTGATTGAGAACAAAAATAAATAACAAGGGCACCAATTTAATGAATTATATATTTCGGTGGCATAAGCCATATGATAAAAGGGAAATCCTTTTAAGTTAATGATTAGAGAACTTTCAAGAACTATATGTTCCCTTTTCTTTTCAATTCATTTCTTTTATGTCTTTAATCAAACATTCAATGTATTAATTATATTATTCTTATTCGACTGATTAACAGTTGATATTGCTCCTATTTAAAATTTATTTCTAAATAGAATCATTTATGATATAAGTGATAATCATCAATATATTACCAATTTGGTTTTTTGCTAAATGGAGCCTAAATACTCCATTTTATTGGTCCAACCAAGTCAACCATAAATCATAAGGCATTATTTGAAAGAAAAAAGAACTAAGTACTCTATTTCACTTTGATGTGGAAGCATAACGATGGGTTCATTGTCTTAATATGATAATATTGGCCTTTATATACTTTATTTATTCTACTTTATCCATTTCATGCACTGGAAAAAAATAGAACATAGCCCGATATCTTTTGAGATACCTGATCGTGAAGATGCCGTAGCTTGTGATTCCTTGTTTGTATCATCTTCACCATTCAACCCATCATTATGAGACTGCGACTTACCATCATTTGACTCTGAACCATTTGGGCAGTCCATTGAAGATGAATTGGAAGCATTACCCCCTGTTCCGGATATGTTATAACCAATATTACGCCACCAAGGTTCTGAATATACTACGGTTTGTGGAATAGCATGAGAACCAAGCTCTACCCGGTTTGTACTTTCAGATTTTTGTTGCATTCTTCAATTTTCTTCAACCAAATGCCAATTCTTAATTCTCTGTCAACCAAGAGAGAATTCAGTAGCGCTAAGCGATCAAATAAGTTCGATCCAACTTATGAGAACATACAACAAAATGCCTCATTACAGAGAAGGCTTCCAAAATGAGAAGAAAATACAGAGATGTAACCAACTAAGAAGAGTACACTTCTCTCTTTACAAATCAACAAGCCAACCAGAACCAAGAATGGGAATTTTTTTCTGAAATAAACACAACCAAGAATGGAATTGTAATATGGATAGTGTTGGAGAACTAAATTAACAAAAAAATTGAAAATTTCTACAGAATCAACTCCAGATATAAACTTATTCTAAAAGAATGGTAGTAGTACAATAAAAAATATACCAGAGAATTTAAAAAAAAAATCGTGACTATCAAAAGGCGGCTATTATCAAGACCAACGGAAAATAAATTCTTGAAGGGAAAAGGGGGAGTTGGAACAAAATTTTCTTTCATTCCAGTAAGAAATTAAGATCAACAAAAGAGATAAGGAAACCATTTATGAATCCATTATAAGACAAATGGAGAACTGACTAGGCAACAGCAAGTTCAAATTTTAGTTTCCGATTTCCCAGACATAATTATCATCCGCTAGAACATACAACAGGAATTGACAAAATAGACACATGCAGAGCAAATTAAAATCTCATATTCTCCACAGTTCCAATCATGTAACCGGATTGGTATACTTCGACAAAAAAACATGATTCCCAGCTTTTTCTCACAAACCAAACAGGGCACAGCACCTTCAATTCCTCCATGTCAGAATTCCAACTCGCCAAAATAAGTAATACAAAAAGAGAGCAAAAACCCATTATCCAACGAAAAAGGAAACAAGTATTCTATTGCGGGAAGGGAGATAAAGAGCGGGAGCAAAGCAATAACGAAATTCTGAAACCCTATACCAGGCCAACAAATCATGCAAATTAATTTACGTTTGCGTATAAACAAATGAAGAAAAGGGGGGGGAAGAAATTAGAATCTGAAATAACCAATCAAAAATCAAGAGTAAAAGAAGTGATTAGGACACTCACTGGTCTCAATTAGAGTGAACACGAAACGAAACAAAACAACGAGTCAATCTAATTTCTTTCCAATTTCTGTAAGAGGTGTATAATTATAATCGCAAGTAAAGAGAAGAACTCGGCTATTTGAACCCCCACCCGCCGTGTGTCTGATAACCCTACTTGCTGTTAGATCGCCACTTTGGACCACCCCTTGGATTACTCGGACACGTGTACTGTTAGGGCTGGTAGTGGCTGCTTCGTCTCCTTTATTTACCCCTCTTCTTGAGTTCTGTTGACAGTTGACTTTGTTTTCTGCGTAGTCTCTATTTAATTATATTAAATGAACTTTTAGAAAAAAGTTAAATTAGCTACTAACTTACAATTAAATTTTTTAATATTAACTCGCTGTTAAAATTAATATTAAATACACTAATTTTATTTTATAAGGGTTTGTTATTAAATAATAATAATAATAAGTAAATTAATTTTTTACAATAATAAATTAAACTCTTTCAAACATTACAACATGGGTTGCGTAAATCCTTGGCGGGTGATGATATCATAGTCCCAACATAAATCCGCCAAAATAAAAAATAGAATTCGAGCTCCACGTGACACGCACTTGCCGGGTAGAGTACGGCAAACGCGTGGCATAAAAAGTGGGGACCACGTCCTCGCAAAACGACAAAAGAGTATTTGACGACGTGGCAATTTGCACTCTTGTTTCTTTTCGTGATCTGGCTTTGCCTTTGTTATTTCATCTTCAAGTTTTTCTTTAAAAAATCAAATAAAATTTTGTCGTTTAATAGTAAATATTTACTGCCAAGTTAAAAAGTTATTTACTGTCATTACGTTTGCATCGTACGTCATCAAGCTCTCTTGACTATTGACTGTTTTTTTGGGGAAAATAAAAATTAACTGTGGTGGTTTTTTCCAAAGGTAATAAATTTCGCTTCTCTGAGGATCGATGCGTATAATAAATGTACAGTATTTTTAATTTTTAACTTTTTTATTTACTATTTTTTAAAATAATAAAATTATGAGGTGCATGTTAAATATTTTTAAATATAGTAATTTTTTTTTTTAAATCTCCTATTTTGACACCAGTGGCTCGGCCCAATCTAAGGACGGCGGCTCGCCGATTTGTCCTTCGTGTGAGAGGCTACAACTGAGTTGACTCGGGTTCACTTGGGCTGTTCCAGATGAACCACCTTGTTTTGAGACCAGTGGTTCGGCCCAATCTATGGAAAGCCTTATTTTGAGTGGGCTGGACAGCGGCTCGCCGATTTGTCCTTCGAGTGGGAGGCTGCAACTGAGTTGACTCGGGCTCATTTGGGCTGTTCCAGATGGACCACCTTGTTTTGAGACCAGTGGTTCGGCCCAATCTATGGAAAGCCTCATTTTGAGTGGGCTGGACAGCGGCCAAGCTGATTTGCCCTTCGAGTGGGAGGCTGCAACTGAGTTGACTCAGGCTAACTTGGGTTGTTCCAGATGGACCACCTTGTTTTGACACAAAAACTGGGTCCAACCTTACAGTAAGCCTTTTTTGAGTAGGCTGGCCAAGGTTTTATATATGTAACATATAGATACGAGTAAATTATATTATATGTATTACATACACACACTATAAAAGATGGATGGAGAATATGGGTGAGGTGAGGTGAGGCAATCTTCTTTCTTTATATGTCATACAAAGAAGAGAAAAGCAAATGATCAAGAAAGAAATATAAAAAGGATATAAATTCAACAACAAGGAATCAAACAAAAGAACTCCCTTTTCTATAATTTTCATGAGTAATACTGATGATCAGAGAAAGAAAAAGAATATATAACACTGTATTGATGATGAAATAACAATAATATGATGTGGGTATACATATAATTAAACATATATGTACTATGTGTGTGCGTATATGTAGATGTATATTATTGTGATTTGCTTATGATCAAATGATGAGTAAGATGTAAAATATGTAGAGGTGAGAATAATGAATGGGGTATATACTATACACGTTGGTAAAACTTTTCCAATGGATCAATCCAAAAGGAAAAATGGTAATGAGAAATCAATTGTCTAGTAAACTAAAGTACTTTAGATTATATATATATATATATACGCATATTCCTGCTAGCTTTGTTATTCTTAAATTATGATACTTTCAATCAAAATGGATATTTGGAGGGAAATATACAAGAAAAGAAAGCGTGGTTTAGTTGGATAAACAAAAAAAGGAAGTTGAATATTCATGTCATCTTGACATGCATCTATGATATATACCTTTTAATATCGTGTGTGTGAGTGTAAATATATATATATATATATATATATATATATAGTAATAAAGGGTTAGTGTGAGAAGTATATTGTTAAAGTAAATCCCTGGTGCAGTCTAAAAGAGGAAGGAATTGAAGGATTGCTTTTGTAAAATTATACATGAGAATATTAGAGCAAGAGCCGACCCACTTCTTGCTTTTATTCAACAAATGCCTGAGAAAAAGTTAAACCTCAAAATGTTTTTGATTTCTAGAGATATCATCATCCAAGGGATCTTACTAATTTTACTCAATCGACTCTTTTCAATTATTTATTAATAATCTAACTCACTCATCCTATATATATATATATATATATATATATATGAATCTCTTTTAGATTTATATATATATATATATGTTTCTGATGTATGAGCTGGAATATTTATGAGGAAGAATGTGAAGACTGCAATTAAAGAAGATAAAGCAACGAGACCGACTCGAAGCTATTTTGCCCTTATAACTAGCCTTTTGATGGCATACAACACATAAATATACATATATATATATATATATATATACGTGCATGTAGGTGTCGAATATCCTTCACACGTAAATCCAAAGGGAAAAGCGAGGAAGAAAACACTGTCAAGAATCAAAGCATAACAAGCTTCAATTCTTATATTATTCAAAACAAGATCATGAATCTTCCTAAAACAACAGTCTTTTTTCCTTTCTGATCCATTACACAAAAGAAAAGGATTTACCTAAATAAATCCAGAAAGCTAGCCTTTCATATATCTGTCTCTCTCTGTGTGTATGTGTATATATATATATATGTGTATACATATTCTGTATATTCTGGATATAAATATATATATATCTTTATAGTATGTACATACGTACATGTGGCAAAAACCAGTTTTTGCAGCTTGGTTGCAATTTTAACCAAAAGCATATATATATTATACATGATATATGTACTTGAAAGAGAAAGGCAGCAGTTAGCCCACCTCGTTAATAATATATATTCTTAATTCGCATATACATATATATATATATATAGCTTGGTGTAATAGTCAATTAGTTTTGCTGAAATCGAAATTGCTCTTGGTTACAAAATCCAATAAAGACGTTGACAGCATAAACGAAAATCAAAGTTTATGTTTTTTTCATGATACAGAAAATAAGAAAAATGATAAGTTGTGAAAAATTAGATACAAGTGATGCATGTCAATTATAGATGCGGGTATACATCTATATATATATATGTATATACATGCATACATACCAGTAGTTGGTCGACATATATATATGTATGTAAATAGATAAATTTTTATAAGTTATTGAACGTGGCAATTTACCTTAATGTAATGCAATCAAAAACCAAAATTTGGAGTTCAGAAAAAAAAAAAAAAAAAACCCACATAAAGAAAAACATTCTTACAATATATACCCAAGTATACACGCACACCCACAAACACACTGGGACATATATATATATCTATGTATAATATATTCTTCTCTACTTTTGTTTTTCTGGGTCAATGTTTACAGTTGATTAAAGGCTGTGAAAACTGTAGTAGTTGTTCTTCTTCTTCTTCTTCTTCTTCTTCATATTCTTCTTTTGGTTTGAAGTGAATCAGCCTCTTAGTTAGCAAAAGGAGAGGAGACATGAAAGCAAAGCAAAGCAAAAATGGCGAATAATGCTTTTTGAAGTTAAAGCCCAAAAAAAACAAAACAACTCTCGACGTCGGCCCACCGTCCTTTAGGGCTTAAATTAAATTCATCAAATTCTTTTTTTACTCCTTTTCTCCAAAACCTAGGATTCCTTTTTCTTAAAATTTGTTCTTGTCTTCCATTTCAACTCTTCGTTTATAATATATAAAATTAGTACTTAATTAAATTATTTGAATAATTAATCTGGTTTAAACATGTTGGTGATTTAGGAACTTAAGTGGGTTTATGTGAAAAATAAAAAATTAATTAAAAGAAACTCCAAAAATTGAATAAAAAAAGAAAAAAAAAACGAATTTTTAATTAAAGGGTTTGTGGTGGTGGAAATTATATGAATAAATTATATAAAAATAATACTTAATTAAATTATATGAATAATAAACCTGGTTTAAACATGTTGGTGATTTAAGAACTTAAGTGGGTTTATGTGAAAAATAAAATATTAATTAAAAAAAACTCCAAAAATTGAATAAAAGAGAAGAAAAAAATGAATTTTTAATTAAAGGGTTTGTGGTGGGGAAAATTATATGAAAATAATAATTAATTAAATTATATGAATAATTAACCTGGTTTAAACATGTTTGTGATTTAGGAACTTAAGTGGGTTTATGTGAAAAATAAAAAAATTAATTAAAAAAATAAAAAAATTGAATAAAAGAGAAAAAAGAAATGAATTTATTTAATTAAAGGGTTTGTGGTGGTGGAAATATATGCTGAAAGTAATAAGATAAACCCTTTATCTAGTGTTTATAAACCTACTTAGAACATGCATATGTAGGTACATATATATATATATGTATGTATGTATTATAGTTTGAGATCACGATAATTCTTAATTAAATTACGCAATATTATATATATATATATATGGGGTAATTATATGATTATAAGAAAAATTAAGGGGTGTAGTTAAAAAAAAAAAAAAGAACTTTTGAAAAATAAAATAAACACCGCCATGCATGAACCATTAAAGCCTTCGACTCCAACTCCCAAAAATTCTATTCCACTGATTTATAATTAATGAGAAATAATTAAATATAATTGTGTAATTAATGGAAATTACTGCAGTAATACGCCTGAGTTAATTAATTAAAGATTAATTAAATTTTACTATGGAAGGAGTGGAGCAACCTCGGATTCTAGAAAAGTTA